TATCTCATTTGTTCTGTCATTGTGGAAGTATTGACCGTTATTTATCTCAATTAAAGTTCCTCATAGAATGTGATTATTATTTTCAGCTTCATATACTTTTGGAGCCACTTCTGTGGAAGAAGAATAACCTCGCGAAGGTGTCTGACCCACCCGAAAGGTAAATAATATTGATAATGATTAAAGAGAGGAGCCTCCTCTAGAATGTGTTTGCTGCTTCTCTATGTCTCCTGGCAACCATAAACATTTCACTTCATGAAACGTAATGTCTTCATCCACTGTTTAAGAGCTTGCCATTTTTAACATTAGGAAAAGTTTCACATATATTTTGTGCACTTTGTTATAAATAGATGGTCTTTGTATGCAGTATTTCCGCCAGTATTTTGGAGAATCTCTTTTGACATGACAATGTGTGCCATTTGTTGTTTTTTCTTCAATCCTAGAAACAGATTTTAAACACGGGATCAACATTTACTTGTGTAAGTTTCTCTGCAGTGTTGGTGCTTTCCTCCAGCGTCATTTTGGTAAAGAGGTACGTTTGCTACGTTCTCTATAATAGATCTTTTGATTGGTCATTTGAAATTGATTATGCTAAACATTTTCAATATTTTCTGACATATATATAGTCAGATGTTTCATTGAAATCAATTTCATGCCACATTCTCCATTAAACATCAAATTGTACCATCTTTCCTCGTCTTCTTTTATTTGTTTCTGTTATTTTCCTCCAAAACTAAAATTCTTTCTCAGGCTTATTTAGTGGTTATATTCATCTCTTTGATTTTGACGCCTATGTATGTTTTACTGCGATTGTATCATTTGCAAGGTTGTTGACTACCTTGTTGATCCTTTTGTTGCTGGAACAAGTGGTGGAGATCCTGAATCTCTTTCTGTGAGTATCTTCTGCATTTCTTCCTCATCTGTATTACCTTCTTCATAAACAGCTAAATAGAAGAAACCTGCAAATGATTTCATTTGCTCACTTTCATGAGCTGTGGTATTAAAACTGGTGGAAACACCGTGAACTCTTTTCCATTTGTCTTCTTCATCAGATGCGACATGCATTTCCAGAGTTGTGGAATCTTGAGAAAAGGTATATCGTACCTCAAAGCTTTTTTTTTGTTTTTTGGTAATATTTTTCTTTAGCATTTTGAATCTACACTAGATGGTCCCTATGAAATAAATAGTTTGGATAAAAACGTTTCAGCTTGCTAGACAAAGGTAGGATGTGTTTGGATTTAATTTCACAAAACAGTTATCCAATTCAAATAAGCAAGTTAATATATTTTGACACTTGCTTATTTTCAAATGTAAAAGCAGAGAATGTTGGCAGCTAATACACACACACACACACACACAC